CCTTTCACATGTGACCCATCTGGAAAGGGTTAACACAAGCACAAAATGAAGAAAATCCTATTATCTAAATTATGGTGATCATACGTCTATCTTGAGCTTGACATAAATATATATTAGTATGTTATTATTGTAGCTACATTAAGTTTGCTATGTTGACTTAGTTATTTGGAAATTTTTTTGTAAAGCTTCTTGGAGAGTATCTTTGCTAGCTATCCCTAACTCTAAAGTAATAGACTAGAAGGAGTTTGGAAAGTAAAGGGATGACCTTGAAGATCTAAATAACTGTCACCTTGCTTGTACTTTTGTTAACATTAGACAAAATGCACAATTGCAAATTTTGGAATAAACTAAACCCATTTCTATAACTTCTCAATCAAAAACAACAACAAAAATATATTTTTAAGAGTCTAAACTTAAGGTTTTATTCTTTACTTAACTCTTAATAATGGTAGTCGATATTAATTTTTGATTAGATCAAGCTACCTGTTTAAAATTCAACCTGGTATTAGCTATGACTATAGCTAATCAAACAGACTTTTCTTACATCCTTATCTATAAAGATTTGAATAGATTGTTCCATCAGTTAGTATCCTCACTAACAGGATACAGTCCTAAATGACATGGCAAGTACTACCACCCCCACCCCATAATATACCCAAACCTTATATTTCATAGCTAACTGAAATAAATAACTTTTGCAAGATCAAGCTTGTCCAACAAAGAGGGGGAAAAGTCCAGTAGAGGCAGTCAAACATCAGTAAATTCCTTTGTGAGCAAATCAAAATTAAGATCATTCATGAAATAAATTCTTGGCATATCTAATCTAGATGAAAGCCAGTGTGTAAAAATCAGTTAGATTAACAACTTCTAATGTAGAGAAAAGCCAGTACATTTTTGGTAACCCTACTTTACAGCATTGGCTTTTATGTTATATCGCTTAGCAACAAAAGTTTAACCTAATATTGTTGTTAGTCTATGCACTGAAAGTATAAAATGAAATGTATAAACAACAAAACTGGAAAAATATTTGTTGATTTCTTAACTTAGAATTTCTGTTGATTAAAGATGTTTGTTTGTTATTAAAAATAGTTGGTGATATAACAGAAAAT